TATTATTTTTATTTATGTATGTGATAAAGAAACATTTAGAATACTATTCGTCTCTGTAAAGATAATCACATTTGGTAAGAAGCATGACATCAATACCTTACGTTCTACAATAATAAAATCCTTTGTAATTTAATAAGCTACTGTATCATATCTAAAAATAACAGTTACATTTAAATGGTGAAAACATTTTTCTCAATATTTGCTTCGGCAAAACATACTGTTAACTTAGTTGCTTATTCAAGATTTTCATAAACATGCCTTCATTTTGTGGCACATTCCACTCCCCCCCCCCCTGCAATAAGTATATTTGTAAACAATGAATCTAGTTTACTTATTTTTATCATGTTTAAATTAGACGAATTTGTCTAAATTTTTAAATAATTTCCTCTGAATACAACAATTATAATATAAACAGTTTATTCAATCCTTAACAGCAAGACTGAGAACTGTTCCAATATTTACATATCAACAATATTTACCCTGAAAGACACACATATGAAGAAGCTTTTTACATTGAGATCTATATGTCACTTTCAAGGAGACCGGATGTAGTTTTCACTGACACTGTACATCACTGTCAAGGAGATATGAACAAATATTCTGTTTCAACATGACCAGACGTACAGGTTTCACTGACACTGTACATCACTGTCAAGGAGATATGAACAAATATTCTGTTTCAACATGACCAGACGTACAGTTTTCACTGACACTGTACATCACTGTCAAGGAGATATGAACAAATATTCTGTGTCAACATGACCAGACGTACAGTTTTCACTCAAACTATACATCAGTTTTAAAGAGATATTCTGTTTCAACATAACATTTTTCTGTATGAGTGGCCTTGATAAAAGACTAAATACTGTAGTCCTAGTGATAAAAACTTTCATCATACAGTGAGAAAGTTGACACTTCCCTGTTTTCAGTAAGGGTAAAACTGATGTCTTCTGTCCTTCATTAATGGTTGGCGTCTTTTGGGTGGAGGTGGACCATAATAATTTTGAGGTGTCCTTAATTCCCACCCTTGTCTGTTAACGTAACTTTCTGGTTGTGGAAAATATCTTCTTGAATAATAATTATCATACACATGGTTCCTGTTGTCATGCTCGTAATAGTCTTCTCTATATCCATACTGTTGCACTGATCTCACAACAGGCTCCTCTTCCCATCTTATTCTTTCACTAAAATCATTTTGTTCTTGGCGAATGGTGTGAACAGTCTGAATTCTGGACACTGGTTCGTAAGTACTAGAACTGACACCACAAGTTGGAATTATGGATGCCAGTTTTTGGTCTTCATTCCTGTCAATATACTGAGTGTCTCTCAAAAATTTTTCTCTTTGACTTGAAGGCCCTAAGTTTTTTGAATCACAACTGCTAACCGAAGGTGGTTGTTCCCTTTCGATATTGTTTTCTTTCTCAGAATGGATGTGACATAAAGGTTTAACAACCTCTAATCGAGACACCGAAGGCAGCTCTTCGGGAACATATCGAAAGTCCTGTTCTTTTGTCACTGGTGTTGTTGAATGTGATGATTCAACAATGGGAATTGTGGATGGCTTTTGAAACTCTTCCTTATTATTTCTTGATTCATTATTCTTCACATCACTTTCAAGGAAAGCACTTGAAAGTGTCTTTAAAATATCTCCAACACAAGTTGCTGCACTAATTTTATCGGATAGAAAGTTACCAAATTTTTTGTTCTCAGATAGAGAGCTTACAACACTGTTGTCCATGGGCTTTGCAGATGGGGCGATGTGCTCCATCCCTCCACGTGGACAGAAAGAATCCTTATCTACACTTTCCTGAGTACCACTCATTGATTTAAAAACAAATGAGTTCTTCAGACTCTGTCTAGTGTTTGGACTACCAGTAACACTTGTATCATGGTCAAGAGGTTTACCATGATTTTTACCATACTCAGCAGACATGTATGGTTCTTGTACTAGCCCCCTGGCAACATCCACAGATGCTCGGTTGTATATGGCACTACTGTCTTTAGTAATTTCCTTTAATCTGGAAGATTTCAGAACCTGATAAGGTGCCTTTTCTTGTGACACACTTTCATCATCACTTTCACCCAGGTCCATATCTTGTGGTTCGAGATCCTCAGTCTCAATTCCTTGTTTATGTTGCTCCTTCAACATACCATCAAGTCTTGCAGATTGTTTAAACTGGAAACTCAGACTGTTGCCTGTAGCTGGTGAGTTCAACAGTTGCAGAGATGTGTCTTTAGTACTGCCCAAGTAACTTGAAGATATGTTCTGAAAGAAATCTGTTACAGATGGGTTCTTGTTCTCTTGTACATGTGTTTTCTTGTCATCTGGTTTTTCAGGTCCCTTCTGTTGTAGTGACCATATGCTAGAAGATGAAGTACTTTTAATGTCTCTACATGTGTTAGTGCTGGAATCTATGAACCAAGTGTTATTTGTAGTTAGGCCTGGCATATCAAATATAACAGGCTTTGGATCTGTTAAAGTTTGAAAGAGTTTTTGAGCTGAGTTTTCAAAGTGTTCTTTCAATATAGATGATGAACTTTCCCCTTCATCCTGAACAGGAGTTTCAGGACCACCACCTTCATCTTTAAGTTGAGTTCCTGAGCCTGTGTCTGGAGTCTCTTGAATTAAAGATCTTCCACTAACCAGATCAAAGCCTGGAGGATGTGGAGAGTTGGTGTTGGAGCTGCTAAGCAGAGGGGTTGAAAAACCTTTCTTATGTTTTGCACCAAAAATTGTACTTTGTATTATGTTAGACAAGTTAGAGAGGCGACTTTCTAAGCTGCTATGACCAAGATTAGGGGGACTTGGAGATGTTGAAGATTCTGATTTTAAGGTTCCAAGTAGAGAGATGATTTCTGATCCTACGTACAAGGAAAACAACATAGACAAATTATTAGAGTAAACAATAAAAAATCATGTCCTTAGAGTTTTAAAAACCTATATTTAATCACCAGTGAATAAATTAACCACATTACAATTCAACTCTGTATAGTGAATGAAGATACTAAAGTAATATAAAACACACTTTGGAAAACAAAATAAAGAACTTAGAGATCAATCCAATCATATGATTACAGGCTCACTTGTGCAAAACCAACACATATAAATATTTCACAATGGTAAGTCCAAATGAATGGACATTGTGTCTCAACTCAGATAATTGTAAAGTCCAGGAAATATGTGAACAGTTTTCTTTATTGTTTACTACGGAGTGTTCCACTGGATTAGATATTTATCTTCACAACTTCTCACTACTTAGTATCTTGATAGAAATGGCTACAATACAAGCACGTATGTCACATTCAAATCAATATTACAACAAAATGTGCTAAGCCATGCATTACATACTCACCTTGAGACATAAAACTCGTTAATCATGTAGATTCTAACAGTAAAGTAAGAAGTAATGTACAAATAACCAATACACTAACCTTCTAACTTACACATAACAAAAATTAACATCAACACAACAAGTAAAAAGATGGTTATCATGATAACAAAATCTCCTATTACCAAATGTTCTCATTAATTTTTACAACTCATAAAGTCTGAACTGATATTCAAATATCATAGTGACAGTGACATGATGTGTAGACAGTGAGAAATTATCATACCTTACTACTTCTATTCAGGTATAACTACATGATGGAGAAACAAGCTGTTGACAGTTAAAGGTTATTGTATCTCACCCACTTCTATTCTGTCTATAAATCTGGTATAATTATACGATGGAGAAACAAGTTGTTGACAGTTAAAGGTTATTGTATCTCACCCACTTCTATTCTGTCTATAAATCTGGTATAACTACACGATGGAGAAACAAGCTGTTGACAGTTAAAGGTTATTGTAATTCACCCACTTCTATTCTGTCTATAAATCTGGTATAATTATATGATGGAGAAACATGCTGTTGACAGTTAAAGGTTATTGTATCTCACCCACTTCTACTCTGTCTATAAATCTGGTATAACTATATGATGGAGAAACAAGCTGTTGACAGTTAAAGGTTATTGTATCTCACCCACTTCTGTTCTGTCTATAAATCTGGTATAATTATATGATGGAGAAACAAGCTGTTGACAGTGAAAGGTTATTGTATCTCACCCACTTCTGTTCTGTCTATAAATCTGGTATAACTATATGATGGAGAAACAAGCTGTTGACAGTGAAAGGTTATTGTATCTCACCCACTTCTATTCTGTCTATAAATCTGGTATAACTATATGATGGAGAAACAAGCTGTTGACAGTGAAAGGTTATTGTATCTCACCCACTTCTACTCAGTACATTACTGTGGAGTAATACAAGGTAACCATTTGTAAACAGTACATTACTGTGGAGTAATACAAGGTAACCATTTGTAAACAGTACATTACTGTGGAGTAATACAAGATAACCATTTGCAAACAGTACATTACTGTGGAGTAATACAAGATAACCATTTGTAAACAGTACATTACTGTGGAGTAATACTAGTAGATAACCATTTGTAAACAGTACATTACTGTGGAGTAATACTAGTGGATAACCATTTGTAAACAGTACATTATTGTGTAGTGAATATCAGTAAATCACCACCTGTTAAATGAACGTTATTGTGGAGTGAATATCAGTTAATCACCACCTGTTAAATGAACATTATTGTGGAGTGAATATCAGTAGATAACCACCTGTTAAATGAACATTATTGTGGAGTGAATATCAGTAGATAACCACCTGTTAAATGAACATAATTGTGGAGTGAATATCAATAGATAACCACCTGTTAAATTAATGTTATTGTGGAGTGAATATCAGTAAATAACCACCTGTTAAATGAACATTATTGTGGAGTGAATATCAATAGATAACCACCTGTTAAATTAATGTTATTGTGGAGTGAATATCAGTAAATAACCACCTGTTAAATGAACGTTATTGTGGAGTGAATATCAATAGATAACCACCTGTTAAATGAACGTTATTGTGGAGTGAATATCAATAGATAACCATTGTAAAATGAACATTATTGTGTAGTGAATATCAGTAAATAACCACCTGTTAAATGAACGTTATTGTGGAGTGAATATCAATAGATAACCATTGTAAAATGAACATTATTGTGTAGTGAATATCAGTAAATAACCACCTGTTAAATGAACGTTATTGTGGAGTGAATATCAGTAGATAACCACCTGTTAAATGAACGTTATTGTGGAGTGAATATCAATAGATAACCACCTGTTAAATGAACATTATTGTGGAGTGAATATCAATAGATAACCACCTGTTGAATTAATGTTATTGTGGAGTGAATATCAGTAGATAACAACTTTTCCGAGTTAATGAAACTGAAGGTAATAATACCAAGACTCTAATTAACAGATCTTCATACATTATCTTTGCAGAAGATCCAGACTTTTCTTTTAGGTAGGGAAAATTAAATTAATAACATTGAGTCTCGATTTACAATTGCTTCTTACCATGACCTGGTAATAGCTTACCCTGATCTGCGTTAGTTGGTGAAGGAGCATCTGTACATGGTGATGAACTTGAAAGTGTTGGAGTAATTTCTTGAAGTTTATTCTTCAGACATTTTACTCGGTTCCCAAAGTTTCTATAGGCCTGTAGTTACAAATATATAAAATACACACCTGTTACAAGTATACTAAAATGAGTTTTAAACAAACAATATCATGTTATTCATCAACAATACTTTCAAAATTAATACAACAGTATGAAGATTTTACAGAACAATATTAGAATTATGGTGTATTTTCTTCCGGACTAAGATCCTGCTGACTGTAAAATACATGTATACTCTGAACTATGGTGTATTTTCTACCAGACTAAGATCCTGCTGACTGTAAAATACATGTATACTCTGAACTATGGTGTATTTTCTACCGGACTAAGATCCTGCTGACTGTAAAATACATGTATACTTTGAATTATGGTATATTTTCTACTGGACTAAGATCCTGCTGACTGTAAAATACATGTATACTCTGTCATGCTTACTGCAAGTAAAATATTTTAAAAATCTGACACAGAACATGAGTAACGAAGCATGTTGTGTTAATAATTAGTTAACAATGATTTATTTGCACAATAAAGTGAGTTATTTATGTTGAAACATATGATCTGACAGAATATCAGTACTGATCTTCTAGCTAGACAGTGACCAAGACCTGATGGGAGGTACTGATCTTCCAGCAAGATAGTGACCAAGACCTGATGGAAGGTACTGATCTTCCAGTTAAGACAGTGATCAAGACCTGATGGAGGTACTGATCTTCCAGCTAGACAGTAACCAAGACCTAATGGGAGGTACTGATCTTCCAGCAAGACAGTGATCAAGACCTAATGGGAGGTACTGATCTTCCAGCTAGACAGTGACCAAGACCTGATGGAGGTACTGATCTTCCAGCTAGACAGTGACCAAGACCTGATGGAGGTACTGATCTTCCAGCTAGACAGTGACCAAGACCTGATGGAGGTACTGATCTTCCAGCAAGACAGTGACCAAGACCTGATGGAGGTACTGATCTTCCAGCTAGACAGTGGCCCTAAACATGCAGTAAATTTGGCAAAATGTTACCTGAAATTGAAAAGTACCACACCCACAACCATGGCTCTGCTTGCATAAAGACATAATATGAATATTATTAACACTGGACTGACTTGTATGGAAGTCGAAGAGGTCAAGTGGCAATAGGGTTTACTTGGAGCAACATTTCATGATCATATATTAATAATATTTGTGTATGGAAGCACATTATGCAGGAGACACAACAATTTGTAAGCATAATGAAATATTTTAATACATACTACATGTTTCGACAGAGCATTGGTCTGTCTTCTTCACATATTCAAACAAAGAGGTTTATATACAGAACAAAAATGTCTCTAGGGTTTATTCTGTTTGACTTACACTGGCAACCAGCCTTGCCTCTCCTCTCTGGGTTTCATAGTACACTCCTCCCTGTTCCAGAACTGTGATCAGTCCTGTTCTCTCCTTTACTTCCTTCTCTAAGGTTCTAATGTAATCTTCTAAACATTTCACTGAACTGTCAAAATCTCTTGAAAACTGCTGCCCATGTTTCCTGTCTGTCGTGAAAATACCATGTTGGAAAAACAGAAAAAAAAAAAACTTGACAGTAAACAGTGCACACTCTAGCTAACAGTACTATATAGAATATTCTTCCCTATATGACTGAGTTCTGTCTTCATCCTAATATTATTGTGTAAAATGTCCTTCCTAAAATGCCCCTTCGATACAATTTTTATACAAGTCTTTATATAGATTGATTGTTTGGAATTTTTCTTTATCCCTAATAAACCAAAACACTTTTAAAACCTTCGTAAGTTAAGAAAAGGGTAAAAAAACTAATATTTTTACGAATTATTACACTGTTGTTAAACAAGGGAGAAGTGTAAAAAATTAAATAACCAAATACATTTTTTCCCCATCTTTTTACGATGAGTTTCCACAGAACCTTATTATCATCATACCTTTTAACTTGCACAAAGCCTCTGTACTGGCTGCATCCACCTTACTGTTAGTCAATATGGTCAGTTTAGCAAGTGTTTCTTTTGTTAGATTTTCCACCAGATGGATCTGGTCAGTCACTTTCTGGGGCTTGAGGAAGGTACAAACAATCATAGTACTATCAACAAAATCAAATGTAGTTCAACAAAGAAAGCTCACATCTATATTTACAGACATTCGTGAGCTACGAACTGTAGGTACGAGAGACATGAATAAATGGTACATCGGCAGCAACCAATCAGATATATTATGAAATACCCTTTAGTTAAAACACGCTTAATCATCAATTTCATTTTTACATCTACAAAAACGTTTCTGTGAATATTGTTGATGAAAGTTAGTATGGAAATAAACACTTCTTGAATTCTATTTTAATTATACCTACACCTATGGTACAGAAAAGCTGATTTGGCTGTTCTTATACAGAAATAAGAAAGGTAGAAGTTTGTTCAGAGAAGCTTGACTAAGGTGTCTAAAGTACAGAAAAGCTGATTGGTGCTGGTTAAACAAGAAAAGTAAAGATTGGTACAGAGAAGCTGATTGACTGTTGTTATACAGAAATAAGAAAGGT